CCACCAGGGAGGGCCTGTATCCTAGTTTTTAATTTCTTGATTATAAGCCATTGTGATAGCTCATCCCTTTGGACTTGGATGGCTTTCACATAAACACAGGCTTTACTGTTCTTGTAAGTGACATGACAATGCAATTTTAATTTCCTTATAATAGGAGCAAAGGTAAGCCTTATCCTTAGTAATTTCGAAAATATGATACTAGGTATTTAACAAATTATCATTATTAAGTTTAGCAAAACTTTAGTTTAATAAGGCATTGGACCACTATTTAAATAATGCTAAAAAGAGGGCTCTCCCTGGAGGTGCAACGGGTTAAAGCACTGCATTATGAAGCTCTCTGAAGCCACTGTAGCATGAGTTCGATCCCCAATTGGGGAGCTGACCCACATGGTGTGCAATACACTCAGCAGTGTATTTCAGGAGATTGGCCTGTTCTGCTCCCCGCTTTGTCTCTGGTGAAGCCTCTCACCACCCCTGCACCTCTGGCCTATACCCCAGTTCTGTAAGCATAAGTAAATAAATCTTTAAAAAATAATGCTAAAAAGAATAGGTTGACGATGGAATTACTAATTGTTGATTGAGTTTCTCTTTGGACTTGAATTCCTAATTAATTACAGGCATAGAAGGTAATAATCCTATACCTCAGTGTTTTCTCAGCTAGGGAATACTCAACCAGCACTAGATAGATAAAGGCAGGACAAAGCAGAGACTTAGCCCCATCGACATCCCTGCATACACGAGAGACCCAGTGGGACTGATGACTTCTCCTTGTGCCTTTAGATGCCACCTTGAATTCCTCTGCTGGGACAAGGAGAGGAAAGAAGTCGGGATTTGGGGGGCTCAAAAATATTTTTCCTCTGAAGAGGTAAGTGGATTAGTCTTCCTGGGTAATTCTTTAAGAAGAGGAATTTAGGTTAAAAAATTAAAAGCTAATTTATCTTTATTCACATAGGCCAGGCCACTTGCTCCTTCTTGCTGAATACCATGAGCTTCCATCTGAAATGAACATATTTAACCACAGAAGAAAGTAGTCACACCCAACATTACACCTTTAAGGCATGTGTGCTTGAAGTGACAGGTAATGTCTCCTCCCTGGAAGAGACTGTCACCTACTGTGAAGGGGACTCCAAAACCAGGCTGAATTTACAAATCAAAGACCTACATGATTCAACTCTAATGACCCTCAAATCAATGGTGCCACTTTTTTACTGGGGCAATTATTTAAGGGAAAAGTGAAACAATTCATTCCCAGTATAGCAAAGTACATGTAGCTGGTTCTGTATTCCATATAGAGAAAATAGACAATTAAAAAAAGATGTCATCTTACTGGTACGCAGTCTTCCTGCTGCAGCAATTCAGTGTAAAGTGACCAACAGGCACGCAGGAGGCGTCTGCACAGGCTGGTCCTGTGGCCCCCCTGGAACACCCCACACCTGGCCTCCTGGGCTTTCCTCCAGGCCTGACATCAACCTGAGCTTTCCATGCCCCCAGTGGGCCTTTTATAATGAGTGTTTAATCCTCATTTGCAAAAAACCAAACAAACAACAAAAAACTAACAGTTTCTAAATGACAGGTCATATAACTGAATTATCAAGAAAAAAGGAATTGGGTTAAGCCCCTGAGGTACTGTCCTGCCTCCTGCCCTCCAGCCTGCCTGTCTGGGCGGCTCTGAGGCCCTTTCCTGAGGGGCTGGGCCTGCTGTGTGTCACCGACTCAGGGAGTTTCCCTGAGCAGGTAGAGAGGCAGCTTGGGCTTCCGGGGCTGTTGTGCAATTGAGTCCTGGGTGCTGAGCTGTGGGTGCACCAGACACCTGGGTGAGGGTCCCTTAGATGAGTCTTTGCTGAGCACCTGCAGCCCCATGATGAGCCCAGAGCCTCTGGGGCCCACAGCTGGGAGCTTCCCCTGGGGGCTGCTGAGGCTGCTGCCCTTTTCCCTGGTGCTGATGTGACCGGGGCTGAGCCTGTCCAGGATGGGTCTGACCATGGGAGGGTGACCCTCAGGTCAGGGAGGCCCAGAGGGACTGGGAGGGACTAGTTCTTCATAGGATATAAAAGGACCCAGAGCAGGAAGCCCACCCTCCCTGACCGCAGCACCATGGCCTTGCTGGGGCTTCTGTCCTGCTTCATCCTCACAGGGGCTGTGTTTGGTGAGTGTTAGGGTCTAAGGACCAGCCATGTATGGGAGGACACAGTGGAGGAGGGACCTGAATCCCTGGCTGTGGGT